TGAGCCACCGCGCCTGGCCCACCCATTTCTTTATAACCATTCTCTTCCTTGTCAATATAACCCATGTTCATATTGTCAGAATGGAAGTTTTGCAGTCCTCATCTTTCATAAACCCATTTGTCATTTTGAGTTTCTGACCTCTTGATCCTGCTTCTCTTTTCTCTGAACTTACTGAAATCTTTTCTTCAAAGACCAGGATATATTTCTGTGTACGTTTAGGATTCACTTCCTGGTCTATTTCCAATTCCAATTTTACATTGTCATTTTTTTCTCAATATTTCTGTCATTTCTACTTTACCAAGCAATTTATTCTTGCTGGTTAGAGGTCCTGAATCATGGTTTCTCTCACTGTTTTATTCTGAAGGCAATACAGAAGTTACCAGAAGGCAATACAGAGTTATCAGCAGACTGTGATGAATAGAAGATGTTCAAATAATTGGCATCTCTTATTTGAGCCAATTTTTGTCACTTCTATTACAAATATATCATCTCTGTCTTTGGGCATTATATAATGATCAGTGTGATATTCTTTCTCCCTTTAAACTCACTTTAAATATTCCTTACCACACTTCATGCCTAGGTCAGTGGCATCCCAGTTGTATGCATATTTTCTTGACAGAACATGCTTTTTTGTTATGTTTATTTTTCATTGGGCATTGTGGAATGTCTGTTGGCAGGAGATCCCATCTACTCAGTTTCAATAATGACTATGCAATCATATGTACCACCATTTTAAAGGTTGCGAATTCGTTAGTAGCCCCTCAACTTTTCCATCTTTGTGCATTTCCTTATAGACATCTAAGACCATATGTATCTGTCCTTGGCCTTTTTAGCTTTCATACCATTTTCTTCCGTGTTTTTGTACTGATCCTATCATTCCTTAGCATGAAGCCTAAGAATATATTCACTTTCTTGCTCCTTTGGATTTTTTTCTCTTCATTTGAATCTTTGAGAAAGATGCCTTACATGCTGACCTCCCCTTTCTCTACATTGCCTCTTGTTTAAAAAGTTATTTTTTTTGATACATAATAGACCTGTATGTTTTCAGGGTACCTGTGATAATTTGATATATTCGTATAACATAAAGATCAAATCAGGGTAATTGGGATATCCATTACCATATTTATCTATTCTTTATGCTAAGAACATTCAAATTACTCTCTTCTAGCTGCTTTGAGAGGTACAGTAGATTATTAACTATAGTTATCCTATTGATCTATTGAACATGAGGTCTTATTCACATTTTCTCTTCATTTTACTCATTTTAACATCCAGAGCACCTCTGCATTTAACTTGTAACTTCTCTTATTGCTTATTGTCTCCCCCTTCTATTTTGCTAGTCTTCCACAGCTGCTTTTTCTCCCCTCTCTTTTGGAGTTAATGTTTCTCATGATTCTAGACGTTATTGCTTGTTTTCTGATTTTTTCTTTTCTTTTTGGCAAAAGAAGCACGTTCCTCCTAAACTTTTTTGAAACTTAAAATGAGTCAGGAAGAAAGTCTGGAATGTGAGTCTTCCCCTTCCTCCCCCTCAACAGCCCTTACTTTGTATCATACACAGAGTTTTGCAGGTGTGCAGCATTTTTCACTAACACCATTTAGGGTTGGTCCCGTTTTTGCGTCTATAACAGATTGAGGTTGTCACTAAAATAAAATAAAAAATGAGGACGTTATTGCCTTGCAGCTCCTCTCTTCCCTTACCTAGATATAAGTAATGTTTGCCAAGCAATCACAAACACATTGTCACCAAGGGATGAATTCTTATCCTTCTCTAAGCTTTAAAATAAGTTTTCAGAGTTATAAAGTAGGAAGAGTGCAGGGCAGAGAAAGCAACCTTTTAAAACAAAGTTCAAATCAATAACAACATTTCCTAGTCTCTATTTTTCTGTTAATGACTGAAGACGAGTACCAATTAGAGAAGCCTCAAATGTCTGGATTTCTGGTTGTAGCAAGTGGTGGGACATGACATCTATTCATAGTGCCATGGAAAAGTCCAGGTTGTTCTTAGCTACCTTTCTTCCATCTCGATCTTGCCTGAGGACACTTAGATCTGCCTATTGCTTTGCCCTGAGGCTTTTTCTTTGTCCTTTATTCTGTCTTACCCATTTCTAACTTCAGGAGGAAAACTCTGCAGTCTTTGGTAAGGGATCTGGGGGTCTTTTATTTTTAGTTTTTCCTAACCAGCTCATTTTAGTCATCATTTTCTCATCAGGTTTTCCAGTAATGCTTATGTTATCACCTGATATCACTAGACTTTTTAATCCTTCCATTGTTTCTTTCTTACTGTTCTCAAGATCACACAAAACTGGCACTGAAGTCAGTCCCTTCAATAGCTAGCATTAAGATAGTTCTGCCTCTTCATTTTTTTTTTTTTTTAACACTTTTCATAGATTGTCTGAAAACATGTTTTCTTCTTTTGGTTTGTACTTCAAATATTTTCTTTCTTAGCTATTAACTCCGCTAACCAACTCTGAGAAAGCTTTGATTTTTGTATAGATGTTTTCAATACTGTTGAGTGTTGTTATTTTGACAAATGCTGCACATGAATTTTCTACAGTCTGAAAACCATTCATATTAGGATGACAAAACATGTAATTGTTTATGTTTAGCTAGATTCTTGCTTATCAGAGTTGTTTTACCAGGACACATTCATTCTGTTAGTTCTGAGAGTTATGATGTAATTGTCCTTGGTAATGAAGCTTTGTCTTGATTTGGTGTTTTCTGTTGAAACATTCTTTGGTGGAACCAAAAGAAAATAGTGACGGGTTTCCATCAGCATTTTCAGTTTAAGTGAGCAATACTGATTTTTTTTTTCTTCCTTTTTTATTATGTTCCTTGCCCCTGCTAGAGGGTGAGGCAGGAAGACCAAATAGGAAGCTGCTGTCTCAATTGTAGCAAGAGATTTGAGGGCCTGACCTTTTGGAGCAACATTAGGCGTGAAAAATAATTCGCATTATTATTTTCAAATACGCAGGCAAGAAGGGTTTCCTTAGTTTAGCTCATAATGTTGTGACTGCTTTTAGGGTTTAGAAACTTCAGTTTTTCTTGGAATCTCTATTTTCTTTTTAACATACCCTCTTTGGTACATGTCTAACTAATTGTGAGATTCATCACATGCCCCACTTATGATCTCCTAGTTTTAGAAACTTAGTGTTTATCACATCTTTTGAAAAAACAACATTGTGGGTTTCCCTTTGATTATAAAAGTAAAAGGAAAATAAAAACAACTTGTGCTGTTACCCAGAGATAACAATTCTTGGCATTTCCATGTGTTTCCTTTTGTTTTCTGTAGGTATATAAATAATTGTCTATGTCAAAGTGCATTTCTATAAATTTTTATTTACCTATACAAAATCTTGATTTTATGAAACATGATATTATGAGATGTCATTAAATATTATGAGTGCATAATATTGATTAATCACATGGATACACCATAAATTTTGAGGTTAGTATTTTCATGAATAATAAATCTTCATGTCTGTCCTCAGGATACTGGATTAATGTACAAACACATTTTTAAAGTCACCAACTTCTTTGAAGGCTAAAACTGAATATGTAAAGATGTGAATGAGCCCTAATGGCTGAAAGTTCCAGCCAGTTGAAGAGGTAGCAGTAGTGCTTAGCTGCTCTGCGTTCCCCACCTCCACCTTGAATAGAAAATACTGGAGCATAGAGAGTTTTCAAGGGGAGAACCTAGAGTGCAGTGGCAAGGGGTCTTCGGCCCCACTTTCCCTGTCTCCTCACTCATCCCCAGGTGCCTCTCCACCCAGTAGTTCAACTTGGATGCTGACATGTTTTCTGATCTTTCCTTGGAATTTTTGTTTGATTTTGGTCAAAATTTTTCTGTTTATCAAAGATGATAGCTTTAATCCACCATGTCCTTGCCTTTTTCAGCTATTTGTGTGCATTGCACAATGAGTAAAATGTCTTCTGTAAGCCCTGGTATTCTTGCACTGTAGGAAGAGCCTAGTGAAGGCATATAGTAGTACAACAGCATAAGAAGGGCTACTTAACCTCACAGATTTCCAGATTTCAGTGAATAGTTTAGGAAACAAAAATCAATACAACTCTCCTTGTATAAGTCAGTTCATGGAAGCAAACAATTATTTGCTTTAGATAGTGTATCTGTTAAGCTGAGTACTCACAACTTAAAGGTATGTGTGTTTGTGTGCGTGTGTGTCACCAGAAAGCTAATTCTTTGACCACAACAATGTCAAGTTTAGTTTTTCTTGATCCTTGTTATTTTGAACTGTTTTATGTTGATAGAAAAATTGTCTTTTAAATGAATTCTAAAATAACAGACTAATGTGGAGGCGTTTCATGTTGTTATGATATGACCTTATTCTTGGTGAATGACTTTGATTCTAATTAAATTGAGTATTTCTAGTTGTTAATTAATATTTTAGTTTTGAGTTTCCATATTGGAATTATCTGTCTTTAAGTAAATTATTTCAGCAATTGCAGTTGTATCACAATCCCAGGAAGCTAACAAGAATAGTTTACAACTGTTACAAATAGCATTCGTATCTTTATTTAAAAAGCTATTCAATTGACCATGCAGATGTTATTACAGATTTTTGTCTTTGATATGATAAATTTCCCATTAATTTAGGAAAATCTGTGTTTAAGGAATGTGCTATCAAGTTTTGCATTGTTGAGCTGCAATTTGTGAAAGTTCAAGCAGCCGTACTGACAAACAATTTGACAAATTTGTAACTGAGACTCTTTTAAGCAAAGGCTAACTTCTGGAGCTCTATGGTCTGTATTTTCTGTTCAGAAACATGCACTTGAATTTCTTCTCTTTTGTGGGTCCAGGAGGTGTATAGACATTACCCATATGTGCACATAGACATACATAGATAAATGTTCATATTCTGTCATATATATTTACATCGTGTATCCAGCCTAAGTTGTGTGTGAAGATGTATATACTTTTAAAAAAATTAAAAATATTCACTTTAAGCTTTCACTAACTTTGAAAGAAATTTCTGTTTGTCTAGGTTGAAGAAATTGTGGATATTGGAGCATTTGCTCCAGAAGACATCCATATTCCTCAGATTTATGTACATCGCCTTATAAAGGGAGAAAAATATGAGAAAAGAATTGAGGTAATTGACTTAGCTGCTTTGTCAGTATTCACGGATCCAGTTACAGAGATAATGCATCCTTGAGACCATTCCAGATGATGGGGAACTGGAGCTGAGCAGAAAGTCTGGTTTTGGATCTTAGTAAGAGCTTCTCATGTGTCTTATCATAATGGGGATACGATGATCTATGCCTCTGTGCAGCCTGACAGTGCCTTGTCATCACAAAATATGTATCACCATGTCATGAGATTCTCTAGGCTGTGTCTACCAGGCTTCTATTGTCCTAATTTATGATGTATAGTTTTTCTGGCTGTCTTAGAGGGGACATAAGAATAATCATGTCTTTGGTGGTTTTACCCCTGCTGAAGTCTTATCTTAATGTTTGGTTGTTCAAAATTGTCTATCTTGAAGGTGCTTTGCACTTTTCTAGAGTGCAGAATGTCATTCTAATTAGCTTCGGGCTGTGGGCAGCTGGTGAGTATGAGATTGTGGCAAGGAATGTAGGTACCAGGAGCATTGAAGGTATTCTAAGGCCAGTGTGTTTGTCCCTATTGCATTGCTGTAAAGGAATACCTGAAACTGGGTAATTTATAAAGAAGTTTATTTGGCTCACACTTCTGTGGGCTATACATGAAGTATGGCACCAGCATCTGCTTCTGGTCAGGACCTCAGGAAGCTTTTACTCAGAGCAGAAGGAAAAGGGGAAGCAGGCATGTCACATGGCGAGAGAGAGAGAAGGTGCCAGGTTCCTTTAGACAACCAACTGGTGTGTAAACTAACAGAGGGAGAACTCCTGCATTTCCCAGGGGATGGCACTAAGCCAATTCATAAGGGATCTGCATCCATGATCCAACACTTCCCACTAGGCCGCACCTCCAACATTGGAAAGTACATTTCAACCTGAGATTTGGAGGGGACACATATCTAAATCATCAGCCAGTGAGAACAGAGAACGGCCACTTTGCCAGAATTACTATCATGATTCAGAAGTGTCTAGGGATCAGCAACAGAATAGACATATAGTAGGGTGCCAGAGATATCTACCTTACAGATATCAAACAGGAAGACATTTTATAATACAAAACCAGTGTTGGGGCCTAGGAAGAAAGGATGCGACTTTTGCAAACATGAGCCTGTTTGTGTCAAAGAGACTTAATAAAGGAAATAGTTTCCTGGCTGGTTTCTGCGTATTTCTGTGATTCCTGTGATGCATTTGTGGTAAAAGTAGTCTAGACTTTGCAGGTGGAAACAGGCAATTGGCAGCAGCAACACCTGGTAAACACATTCTGATAGCCCTGAAAAACACATTCCCAAAGTCTGTTCCTCTTTCATTCTTCTGGCCAGTCCCTGTGCACCAGAGGATAAGTTAGTTGGAAGAGTAACAGAAGTAGCAGACAGTGTGATGATAGTAACAGATTATTTGCTTCAAACAGACTGAAGAGCATATCTTCCTCTTTAAACAAATCTGACCACTTTCATTTAGTTCCTAAAGAATTATTTCTACCATTAAATATCACCCATAGTATTTTTTTAAATCTCTGGTATATTGCAGATTTGTCTCATAATAATGGGAGCGAGCTCATCTTTTTTCCAGTAAAATTTATTTCAGCAGTGATAAAATACAAAGCATACCTTCAACCACGAATGATTTATTTCTGTTTAATTTAAAGCGTTTATCAATCCGGAAAGAGGGAGATGAGGAAGCCAAATCTGCTAAACCTGGAGATGACGTAAGGGAACGAATCATCAAGAGGGCCGCTCTTGAGTTTGAGGATGGCATGTATGGTATCCTTTATCCTTCTGAGCCTGGGCAAAGACGTAGCCTTTGCTTTTCCCATATTGATCAGGCTATTAGACCTCTTGCATAGTGAGTCATCTCTAGTCTACGGTAACTTTTAAGGTAATTAATCAATTTTTTTTTTTTTTTTTTTACAAAATGTGGCATATAACCCAAAGATGTCAAGATATATAACAGATATGTCTTTGCCTTCTTGAAACAAAATGGCAATCAATAATTTGCTTAGCTATTTTATAATACACAATAGATTTCAGTACAACTTGCATTTAATGGGAGATTATTGGGAAAAGAGATTACCCAAGATGAGTGTTTTCAAATCTCAGAATTCTTAGTAATAACCAGTGCTATTTACTTGCTCTCTATCCTGACATTTGCATACTCATTGAAAGATCCAACTTCTTTTTTTATTTTATTTATTTATTTATTTATTTATTATACTTTAAGTTCTAGGGTACATGTGCATAACGTGCAGGTTTGTTACATATGTACACTTGTGCCATGTTGGCGTGCTGCACCCATCAACTCGTCAGCACCCATCAACTCGTCATTGACATCAGGTATAACTCCCAATGCAATCCCTCCCCCCTCCCCCCTCCCCATGATAGGCCCCGAGAATGGGAGAAAATTTTTGCAATCTACTCATCTGACAAAGGGCTAATATCCAGAACCTACAAAGAAAGATCCAACTTCTTAACAGCCCTCTTATTCTCTTGAAAAACATCCTGTGAGTACCCTTTTATATCTGATATTTTGTAAGGGTATTCAACAAATGATTCAAATTCTGCTTTAGATACTTTGTCAAGAAAAGGAGGTAGACATAATTAATATTTGGATTTTGAATGCATTTAACAAGTCTGCTCACCATTTTGCTAGTTTTCACTACAGCAGACATTGAATTATATAATACAAATAACACATATAAATACACATAGCATATGATAAAATGAATTTTTGTTGAATGGTGGATACAGTAAAGCCATACTTAAAGACCTAGGACCAAAAGAATGAGAGACATGACAAATGTCTCCATTCTCTGAGCTTCCCTAGTCCATGAATGTCAGTCTTCCAGACTGTGATCTTGACTGGGAGAACTTTTCTTTTTCTCCTTTCTTTTTACCTCTACCTCATTTTTGTTCATTTTTCAGTTTACACCTTGTGTTATGGTGCAAACCCACATAAGGGAAAAGAATAGCATGTTGCTGCTCTTCCAGCTCTTGTATCAGCAAGGTACGGAGTCAACCAAGTTGAATTAGTAGGTGAAAGATGGTCACTGGACTTTCTTCTCAACCTGTCTTACCCTGACTTACCATTGATATTTAAACACTGACTATAATACTGATTGTAGGTGTTCTTTATTCAGTTATTGTATTGCCTGTGAAAAATATTTGCAAGTCAGTTTATGTAAATGGTCTTTCCATATCTCCTACTTTTTTTCAACCCAAAATACATAGACTTTTTTCCTCCCTGGTGTTTGACTTTAAAATATTAAAGAACTGAGAGAATGCTACAATATAATGAAAGAGTTGAGGTACCAGGCTTGTAATTTGGGTTGCTCTGTCCTAAAAATACCTGCTCATAATGGAATTAATATCCCAATGTGTTCTGTGCATTATTGAGAAATAAATCACAAATAACACTGTACTAGACTGTGAGAGAACATTAGAGGTAAATCAGGTAGCTATAATCATAGCTTCATAGATTTACTGTATCCATAAGAAGTGACCTGGGTCATTCAGTTGTACTGCTGGCCTTTGTAGTTTATAATATGGCACCATATATAAACCTCCTCTGGCCTTGATTCATGAAGATTTCACTGTTAGAATCTCATCAGAGTGCCATCATTCTTTGTACTAGTTCTGGTGAGGTATTTGGTGTGCAGTGGTAGTGAACAGTAGTGGGCAGTAGTTCTGGGCAGTGTATCTTTGATCTGATCAGCCTGCCTGTGTTGATAGGCAGGATTGAACCTACATCATTGAGTAGTAATCATCATCACTCCTGTTTTGATCATATAAGGAAGATGATGCAACAACCTCAGTTAACTCTTTGATGCCTTAACAACAGCTACTTTATATATGAGCTCAATTGTATTTGCTGAAATGTAATTTCTTCCCCACTTTTCTTTTTATGTCACAGAACATTCAGTTACCAATGAATGTTACCATAGAGACCCAAAGGATCTGATATACTTTTAGGCAGAAATTTTGGTATTGTCAGAAAACTTTTTTTAAATTTAAAAATGGTAACTCCATTTATCAATAAAGATGATAAAAAATGATCTTTTGGCAGGAGTTTTGAATAGTGAAAATAATTCTTTAAAAGTCAAGCCGTGTTTAATAATCAGTCATAATACATCAACCCAAATTTGTAGAGCACATTAATGAAAATGTGCTTATATTTTTGTTAAAATGTAACAAATGGCTAGCTTCTGAGGCCACTACTTTGATATTGGTGGGAAAGCATATTAATGTTATTGAAAAAGATATGACTAATTAGAGACTTTTTTTGAAAAATTACAAAATAATGCCCAGAGGGTGATTGGAGTCTATATATGTAGAAGATTTATGGTATAACTTCTCTACCTTTTATATGCTGGACCTTAACATCTTTTTTTTCTAGCTAATTTGGGCATAGGAATCCCTCTCCTGGCTAGCAACTTTATCAGCCCAAATATGACTGTTCATCTTCAAAGTGAAAATGGAGTCCTGGGTTTGGTAAGATGAAAATTTGTTTTTTAAAATCCAATCTTAATGAAGAATGAGATATTTCATGTTGTGAAATTTTTTATTAATTTTTTTTATTTCAATAGCTTTTGGGGTACAAGTGACTATTGGTTACATGGATAAATTGTATGATGCTGAAACTGGAGATTTTAGTGCATCCGTCACACACAGTGAAATCTGAGTTGTTGCTTAAAGTGCCCAACCTTATTTTTCTTTTTATCATAATAAAATATTGAATTTTTCCCTTAAAATGTGAGCAAGATAGTATTGTATTTTACGTAGTAGATGGTGCGTTCCTGACTCTGGGCTTTCTGACTGCATCTCCCATGTGGAACCTGATTCAGAGAGACCTCATGATTTCCTGTGTAAACTCTTTCTCATCCTTCTGTTGTTGGACAAGATAATGAAGGTTCTCAACAGTTCTGTGTTAAATAAAATTAAACCTCAGAGTGCGAAACTGAAGAGGAAGGTTTCCACTTTAGGACAGGGACATTGTTTGAGTTGATTGCCTCAAAAAACTGTAGAAGTTCTCATCTCATTCTCCTTTCGAGGCCCTATTGTCCAAAAGGTTAAATTTTTTTCTTCCTTAAGATTAAGCATCCAAATGAGCTCAGTTTTCTTAGTTAGGCCATATTTTTTCATTATTATAATAAAATCATATATTTTTTACTTCCTGTATGACATTTTAATTTAATTAACAATGGCAGGGATTTGGTTTGTCTATTCATAATCTTTTATTTCTCAGTAGATCATAACTGTTAATGCAATAGAAATTATGCATATGGAAACATATTCATAATTCAAAATATAAATAATGATCATGGGCATATAGTTGATACTCATTGAGGCAATAATCGTGACATTTTCAGACACAAAAATGATATATGTTTGGATAAAAGCAGATTCATGTGGAAGTCAAAGACTTGCTTTTTTTTGTTTGTTTGTTTTTTGAGGCCTAATCTCTCTCTGTCGCCCAGGCTGTAGTGCAGTGGCGCAATCTTGGCTCACTGCAACCTCCATCTCCTGGGTTCAGGCCATTCTTCTGCCTCAGCCTCCCAAGTAGCTGGGACTACAGGTGCCCGCCACCACACCTGGCTAATTTTTTGTATTTTTAATAGAGACGGGGTTTCACCACGTTAGCCAGGATGGTCTCGATCTTCTGACCTTGTGATCCACCCGCCTTGGCCTCCCAAAGTTCTGGGATTACAGGCGTGAGCCACTGCGCCTGGCCAAAGATTTGCGTTTTTAAGGTGCCTTAGAGATTATAGAGTGATCAAATTCCTAGTTTTGGAGAAAAGGGAAATAAATTTGTGGATTATCCGTGGCCAGTGTTTAAAGGAAAATTTACATAGTTCTGAACATTAGTTGCCACCTCAGTTTACAGGATAAATTTGTGGTCTCTCTCTAGAAAGTATGTAAAAATTTCACAGCCAATAATATTTCTTCATTTTTGGCTCCATCTTATATCTTTTTTTTTTTTTTTTTGAGACAGAATCTCGCTCTGTCCCCCAGGCTGGAGTGCAGTGGCTGGATCTCGGCTCACTGCAAGCTCCGCCTCCCGGGTTCACGCCATTCTCCTGCCTCAGCCTCCGGAGTAGCTGGGACTACAGGCGCTCGCCACCTCGCCCGGCTAGTTTTTTGTATCTTTTAGTAGAGACGGGGTTTCATCGTGTTAGCCAGGATGGTCTCGATCTCCTGACCTCGTGATCCGCCCGTCTCGGCCTCCCAAAGTGCTGGGATTACAGGCTTGAGCCACCGCGCCCGGCCATCTTATATCTTATGCCTTTTTATTTTTTTATAGTTTCCTCCCTTTTCATCGAATATATGTGATATTCTTTAACTACTTTCCCTATTTAAATAGAGTTATGTTATAAAAACATATGGAAAATTTAAAAAACTTTACTGAGAGTAGCTGTGCAAAAGGAACATAAGGACATAAGTATATCAAAACTTAGATGTAGTGAGGAGTAAGATTAGAAACCCAAATTCAGGCCTACAGTTTACAAATCAGAAAGCTAAAAGTTTGTCTCTCCAGGTCCTTCTGGCCAAATAATGTGATGTAGTTCGTATTCATTAATCCTCATGGAAAAGTTTTTGAATAACATTGGTTGCATAGTAGGTACTAAATCTTTTTTCTTTGATTTTTTTATTTTTAAGAGAATGGGGTGTCACTATGTTGGCCAGCCTGGGTTTGAACTGACCTCAAGTGATCATCCTGCCTCAGCCTCCCAAAGTGCTGAGATTACAGGCATGAGCCACTGCCCTGGCCTACATTAGTTTTGCCATTAGTTTTGTTGACCTACATTTCTAATACATTTTCATAGTAGGGACTAAATAATTACTTTTTGTTTTATGGACTTGTATTTCTAATAGTATAGCATTTCTTTTAAATTGGTAATTTTTAGAAAATATTTTTCATTTGCCCAATCACAACTTTAGTATAGAAAAGACTAACATAAGAAACAGAGCCATGGACACAACAGAATTATTTTTCAAAAGTTTACCTCTAGTCTTCGGATGATACATTTCTAGGGTTTTTAGGGAAGTTACTTATATTACAGTTTTAATATGTGATTCAGTGAGAATCTTCATTTACTGATTGGATGTATACTGTATTTGACAGGGTCCATATCCACGACAACATGAAGCTGATGCAGATCTCATCAATGCAGGTAAGCTCACTTATTTCTGGCCCTTCCCTTTGCTGTTAATATTGTGCTAAATAATAAGAGTTTGGACTCAATTCTTTGTCTTTTCCTGGAGAGCACTCCATAGTATTCATTGTTGAGGAGGGGAGACAAGATTTTTTTAGGTCTTCCCTCGTTCAGGAATGAACAAGATAAAGGAGGAAATGCAGATGACAGCACATTTAGTGGAAGAGCTTTGATGGGTCAGTCAGGGTCCTGCCTGTGAATAGAGAACATTTTTTTTTAATTTATTTTTTATTATTATTATACTTTAAGTTCTAGGGTACATGTGCATAACGTGCAGGTTTGTTACATATGTATACTTGTGCCATGTTGCTGTGCTGCACCCATCAACTCATCAGCACCCATCAACTCGTCATTTACATCAGGTATAACTCCCAATGCCATCCCTCCCCCCTCCCCCCTCCCCATGATAGGCCCCGGTGTGTGATGTTCCCCTTCCCGAGTCCAAGTGATCTCATTGTTCAGTTCCCACCTATGAGTGAGAACATGCGGTGTTTGGTTTTCTGTTCTTGTGATAGTTTGCTAAGAATGATGGTTTCCAGCTGCATCCATGTCTCTACAAAGGACATGAACTCATCCTTTTTTATGACTGCGTAGTATTCCATGGTGTATATGTGCCACATTTTCTTAATCCAGTCTGTCACTGCTGGACATTTGGGTTGATTCCAAGTCTTTGCTATTGTGAATAGTGCCGCAATAAACATACGTGTGCATGTGTCTTTATAGCAGCATGATTTATAATCCTTTGGGTATATACCCAGTAATGGGATGGCTGGGTCATATGGTACATCTAGTTCTAGATCCTTGAGGAATCGCCATACTGTTTTCCATAATGGTTGAACTAGTTTACAATCCCACCAACAGTGTAAAAGTGTTGCTATTTCTCCACATCCTCTCCAGCACGTGCTGTTTCCTGACTTTTTAATGATCGCCATTCTAACTGGTGTGAGATGGTATCTCATTGTGGTTTTGATTTGCATTTCTCTGATGGCCAGTGATGATGAGCATTTTTTCATGTGTCTGTTGGCTGTATGAATGTCTTCTTTTGAGAAATGTCTGTTCATATCCTTTGCCCACTTTTTGATGGGGTTGTTTGTTTTTTTCCTGTAAATTTGTTTGAGTTCTTTGTAGGTTCTGGATATTAGCCCTTTGTCAGATGAGTAGATTGCAAAAATGTTCTTCCATTCTGTAGGTTGCCTGTTCACTCTGATGGTAGTTTCTTTTGCTGTGAAGAAGCTCTTTAGTTTAATGAGATCCCACTCTTACATAGGGTAATTGAGAGTTAGAGGAAGGGACAATTTACAAAGGCATGGATAGGATTAAAAGAGACCACGAAAGGATGGTAAAATTCCACAGGGAATTATCACCTCTGGGCTTTATGGGGCAGGTTGCTGTGATTTGACTGAGTTCCTCTACCAAAGGCCTCTTAATAGGAACTGTGACCTTTGGTAGAATAACTCAGTCAAATCACAGCAACCTGGTTGGGTGGAGGGTCTCCACTGCTGGGTTGCCTGCCTGTGCCTTCCATTGGTGAATCTCAAGTCAAAGTAGGTCAGCCTTCTTAGGATAGAGAAAGGTGGGAGTGAATCCATAGCAGCAAAAAGAAAAGATCTGGTAAAAACCAGGGTTTTCGTTGGTGGTGATGCTTACTATTTTCTAGTTCTCCTTGGAGCAGGAGAGGAGCTTAAGGAGGTTCTCTGCTGGTAAGTACGATCTGGTGATGTAATAAATGTAGTTTTGTTGAACTGGAGACTAGAGCCTTGTCTTCCCTTTTGTTCCTACAGGCATATGCTTTGCCTTTTATTACTAGCCTTTTCTTTGACTGGGACATAGCCTCATATATTAACAGCCTAGAGGAGGAAGAACAGATCAGGTCTTTTGGTCATCTTCACTGCCTATGCTTGAGGCAACACTGCCACCACTTTGGAGCCGTATATCTTCCCTGGAGTGCAGCTGCCCATAAGAAGCTAATTTTTAGGTTCTAGCATGATTTTCTGTATCCTTCTTTTATTCATTCTGCCCCTGCAAAACTGTTATTCTTACTTTGCATTCAAAAATAGTATGTGTAAATTTCAGATGACAAGTAATATGAGCTGAACATAAAGGCCAGCTGCCAAGTAAAATTGATGTTTGATACTTAGAATTTTTGGAAGTGAAACAGCTTCTGGTTGAATAGTTGAATTAGTTAACACGACTCAACTCTGAAAGGCCTACTGTGATAAAGCAATGACATTTAACCAAGGCTGTAATTTAATTGTACTGTACCCTTTAGCATTAGCTCATTGATCTGTGAAAATATTTGCTGCTTGGTTTAATTAATTTATGATGTTAGTGAGTTATTTGCAAAATGAATAACTGCATGTTCCAAATTTCAGGCTTCAGTTTATAAAACCCACTTTCCTTGGAAAAGTTGTTAACTTTTTCAACGTGGTTTGACAGTAGGTTTTTCCGATTCCATAGAGCTTAGAAGTAACTCAGTCCAAATGAAGCCACCAATTTTATATTTCCACTAATCTTACATTTCAACTTCAACACATGAAGTGCCACATTTATAAACTACTTTACAAAACAAGAATTCATTGCTTATGGGAAGCCAAGCTGCAAGTTAGTTTAATAATATTATAACTTTTTCAAAGTCCTTTTTGGGAGTTTCGATACTTTGATACTTTTGATTTTAAATTAGGGAGGAAATACTTTAAGCTGGAGAACCTAGAATATAAATTGGTGGTTTCCTCAATTCCCAAAATTAACTGGAAGATCAACCCATTATTTGTGTTAGTTTCAAAGCATTTTATGGAAATCTCTTTGAATAAAGAGTTATGTTTCTGGATATAATTGGTATATTAAAAATTCAAAATTATAATAGAACTATTTCCAAGGATCTCTTTTTAAAGAGTCTTATAAGGTTATGTAAAAATGAACTACCAGTTGTATAGTATTATATGGCTTAGAGCATACTTTTTCACATGTATTATACCATTGGACCCTCAGATGAAAGTTTGTTATACAAATTGGGAAACTGAGGTCCAGAAAATTGAAGTGACGGGTTCAAGATAACATTGCTAGGGACTGAGTTCATACCCAGTCTCCTGCTTGTGACCCTGGCCTTCTTCTGTATACACTGAGTTATACCTGCTGATAACCTCACTTGCACAGAGGTGCAGACAGCAGTGCTTGGAACATTCCAGAGGTCCCATCAAGATCTGGGCTCTAACCTAGATTAACCCAATGCAGTTGTGAAATTTCTAAGTCTCATATTTTTGCTTCTGTATTGTGTGTTTTGCGTTCTTCATTTCTTAATATTTTCTTACTTTAGTATACAGTATTTTAAATGACTTGACTTTTAATTAAAGTTGCTTTAGAAAGAATCACCATGTTTAATATCCCTAGCCCCCTGCCATATCCCTCTACACTAGTGGTTTTCAATGAGGTGGGATCTGATTTTGCCCCCAGAGACATTTGGCAATGTCTGAGGACATTTTCGATTGTCACACCTGGGGGAGTGACATCTAGTAGGTAGAGGCCGGGGATGCTGATAAACATCCTACAGCAACCAGAACAGTCTCCCCATCCCCCAGAGTTCACCAGGCCCAATTGTCAATAGTGCTAAGCAGGAGAAACTCTGCTCTAGAGGTATACGTATCACATCTGAAAAATCACAGGCCTGCAGTCTAAAGTACAGATAACACAGCATTCCAGGTCTCTGTAGTGGTTGCAACCAACCATTATGGCTTTTTGTCTTGCTGTACCCTTCAAGGGTATTTTTGTGTACCCATTCTGGACTGCTGGGTGTTTTCTGATTATGGCTCATACTCTTCTTTGCATGTCTTTGCTCTTGGTGTGTCTTTCATGAGATTTTGTTCTGCTCCATTCCATTGTTACCCCATCTCCTTACTGATAACTTTCTATCAACATTCATTATGCTTATCCTTCAAGTTCTAGCTCATTTTTCTTCTCCAAATCCTGCTGTAGCTCAGAAATGCCCTTCCCCTAAACCCACAACATATCTAGTGTCTCTCTGAGAAGCATATCACATTTTGCCTTGTAATTATTTGTTTATCTCTCCTGCTGTATAGTAAGTTCCTTTTGCTTAGGGCAGTGTGGTCCAAGTGTGGTCCCCAGACCCACAGCATCAGCATCACTGGAAATGTTTTAGAAATGAAATTCTCAGACCTCACCACACACCTACTGAATTAGAAACTCTGCATTTCAGAAATCTTCCATGTGATTCTGATGAATGTTAAAGTTTGCAAACCACTAGTTTAGATCACCCAAATTTGGTGTATAACACTGTTTAAGGCATATAGTAGGCATTTACTATTGTGTGGATGACTTTTAAATCATGAGCCAAAGGACTCAGTGACCGTGAAATTGATAACTCTATTGCCCAAATATGAAAAATTCAGATATACATAAAGAAAAATTGGAGGAGACAGAAATCAATCAGGAATAGCCAAGTAAGAAAGCCCTCTTTATGTTGCTTGTCTTTAGTTATGACTTTTCTTGACCAAACTTGGACATTGTATGTGAAAACCATGGATTCAACTTTAGGATACTTATTTTTGTTTAGATATTAGATGTTTAAAAATGCTGAAAATTAACCTTGCTTCAAAAGAATGTAATTTTTAAGATGCTATAATGTATTAGCAGAGGACTTGATAATGTTTTTTCAAGAGAGTTGTTTTCTGGGCTCTTTAATAAAACTATGCTTCACAAATAATATAGGGAGATCCAAAGCTCTTCCCATTGATCTCAGTTTCCTGTAACATGGTAAATACGCATTGTATGTATTATCAGCCAGTACAGATTATCTTTTGGAAGTCAGTGTTATTTAGCTCCTAAAAAAAAAGAGCTGGGATTTTTAATGTTTTTCTTCCTTTTTGTCCTACAAATTCCTCCTCTTCGACTTGCTGCCTTATAGGACTGATGAGGATCTGAATTTGCAGGTTATACACGTTGTGTCTAGAATAAGGTTTAGTTGTGTTATGCCTGTCTTAAAACCTAGAGCTCACACAGGCTGGCCGTCCAACCCCACCATATAAGCCAATTGCTTGGTCCTGTGACATTTATCCCTAGAGGGGCAATGGCATTGTCTCTTTTATAGGTAGCTTTGGAGAGAAGAATAACAAAAATGGCGATAATTAAAGGTGATGTTTATAGAGCCCTTTCTCTGATCCAGGCAAGTTAGAGTAAGGACTTTGCATGCATTATCTAATTTAATCCACTATGTCTTACATGCTGTTTAAAAGCCCCTGCTAACCATACCAGGAAGTATTTTAAAAACTTTTCAGTTTTGTGGTACTTTAAAAGATACAAAGATGTTTCCATCATTTAGAATAAAACTCCCTCGAGAGATATATATTTATATCAAGATGAAATATTTATTTATTTATAAATAAGCTTACTCTTTCTCCATACTCAAGTTTGAATGGAGGGGGATATTGATGGAAAAGTTAGCTTTTGGGAACGACTTGAGAATTTGAGGATATAACTGTGTTGCACAGCTAGGGATATTCAGACTGCTTGTGGTCCTTTTGTTTCTGAGAGCTATTCCCTTTCCAATTTTGGAATAACAGTTTTGCTTCTCTTTCTTTTTGTCTGTCCTATTATACTGGGGCCATGCATGGGGTGTTCTCAAACAGGTGACTTATCTTTGGCACAGTGGTATGTTAGCACCTTCCTGGTTGAGACCAGAAGCTATTCCCAGGCTCCTGAAGCTCCTGAATAGACAGGAAATAGATCACAAGATGGCAGCGGCTTAGATATGAGTCAGGTGATTTTATTAGTTCTATGGGGAGTCGATGACCTTGAAAATCTTTTCCAGCTCTGAACTTCATTATGAGGTGTAAGTCTTGGGAGATGTCCTTCCAAGGAGACCTCTTGGCAGTTAACCTTAAATACATTGGCCAGTATTACCATGTTTTTCCCTGATTTTATGAGAATCCTGTGGTTTTAATAGAAGCTTATGGGGCAAGAGGGTACAGATGAGTCAGAAAAACAAAGAAAAGTGGAGAGAGATGAAAAGTGGAGAGTTCAGGCCAAATGAAATAAAGGAATTAGGTGGTTCCTTTTTTTCTATATGTGTTTTCTAATTTTAGTTTTATTTCTCCCCAGCTTCATTGCAATATACTTAACAAATAAAAATTGTTTATATTTAAGATGTATAACATGATGATTTGATATATATATACATTGTGAAATGATTACCACAATCGTTAATTATCACATCCATCGTCTCACATAGTTACCTTTTTTTTTGTAGTGAGAACCCTTAAGATCCACTTTTCTAGCAAATTTCAATTATATAGTATAATATTAACTATAGTTAATACTATATGCTGTACATTAGAGTCTCAGAAGTTATTCTTATCACTGAAAGTTATTTGTTGATTAAAAAAGAAACTGCGGTGCATCTCCTGTGTAATTCTCTTCAAAATTGCAATCCTTCTTATATTCATACTGATTCCACAGTCTCTCTGTCCCAGTGACTTACAGTAGCATTGGATTCTGACAGGTGTTACCCCAGAACTCCCTTCCTCCTCATTCCTAAGTAGTATTTAGCAGAGGATTGTGAAGGGAATGGGGATGGTGAGAGGCTGGAGAGGTATAGACAATAGAGGAGTGCATTTCCTGTAGAACAGGGGTCGCTAACCCCTGGGCCGTGGACCAGTACGGGTCCATGGACTGTTAGGAACCAGGCTGCATAGCAGGAGGTGGGCGGCAGTCAAGCCAATGAGCATTACCACCTAAACTTGGCCTCCTCTCAAATCAGCAGCAATATTAGATTCTGGTAGGAGCCCAACCGAACCCATTGTAAAATGTGCATATGAGGGATCTAGGTTGCCCGTTCCTTATGGTAACCTAATGCTTGATAAGCTGATGTGGAACAACAGTTTCATCCTGAAACCATCTCCATTCCCCAGTCTGTGGAAAAACCGTCTTCCACGAAACTGTGCTGAGGTGCCAAAAAGGGGACTGCTGCTGTAGAGAATTTCCAAACAATAAGAAAACGAAAAGTGATCTGCTTTTTATTATCATCATACAAAGGCAAAAGCAATGTCAGTGACAAAATACTTTCCACCACAAAAGGTTCCTATTATGTCCCCCCACCTGCCATGTCACTGCATTTTGGTAAAGGGAGTTTAAGTTCTTTTGGGAATGGAGAAGATACGGACCTCTGTTCACCATGATACTCTTAGAAATCTAATAGCCTTTTCTTTCTTTTGTGTGTGTGTGTGTTTAGGCAAGGAAACAGTTACTGTTCTTCCAGGAGCCTCTTTTTTCTCCAGCGATGAATCATTTGCAATGATTAGAGGGTACGTAATAACAGAGCCCTTCATGTTTCACACTGTGTGGAATGAGCTGAGTCATCCTCTGAGTGTGTTAGCAAGGCTCTGAAACACAGTCACATTTCCCAGCCAGAAAACTATCAGGAGTTTGTTTGGCTGCATGATGTGAAATTATTCACATCGAATGTTGGACATTGAATATCCAGCCCACTGTTAGGAAAAGAACCCCCAAAATGGAATCCATGTCTTTGTGCTAACCAGACTGAAATAAGCATTTATAAGGTGCTTTCTGAGGATTCTATCATTTTCTTCAAACTGTGTTCACTTTCTAGCTAGTGTTTGTGTTCAGATAGTCACATTCTGCCTCACTGAAGGAAACAATCTTCCTGTGTACACCTGTTCATAGTTTGTTATTGAGCCAATATATACTATAACATTTTTTTCACAAAAGAATTCTTAATGATTATTTCTCTGTCAGCGTGGAGCTCTATTAGGAAATCAGTTGTGTGGTGGGGGGAAGCAAATATATTTTGGTGGCATGAAGTTATTCTGATTGCTAGCAAGTTCAAGCAAAGGGGACAAAAGATTGTGAGGTTCACTTTATTCTTCCTCCTTCTTTCTCAGGGGACATGTCGATCTGACAATGCTAGGAGCGATGCAGGTTTCCAAATATGGTGACCTGGCTAACTGGATGATACCTGTAAGTAGACATTTTTTATTCTGAATTACGTTTGGATCAGAATAGTTACTTTTTAAATACTAAGAAAAAGGGCCATGAGATCACAATTCTTTGAAAATGAAATATTTTAATATATATTTCTTACTAGAATCAAATTTTAATTAAGTAAGCACTGAGAAGTATTCAGCTTTGCCAATTTGCTCTTCAGCTGGGACTGAAACTAGGCAAGATCAGAGCCAAAACATCTTCTTTAGAAGAAACCAAGTTAGAGAAGACTTAAAAAACAGAAAAAGGGCTAATTATACTCTGAAAGTAAGAAATACAAATATTTACCATAACTAAAGTTTTAAACTAGGAAGAACAATTAATAAGTTTGTTAGCATTGTTAATTGTTAATTAATGTTGTTAATTGTTAATTCTATTAATCAGTGATTGAAATCATCTTGATTGGTTATGTGATCCCATAATCACTGTCCTCTACTATGGAATTCAAAGCATGAGAGTTTACTATCATTGTGAAATGCGCGGTTGTCATTTAATGACGTAAATCAAGGAAGAAACCTCCTAGAATTAGCTTTGGAAAGAGGACTGTTATCACTGCTTAATTCATGAGTGTAGTTCATTGTAGACCAGGTTATTGCTTCCCAAGTACATGCTTGGAAACAACATTGGGTATATTTATGATTATGAGCTCATTTTGGCTGGTAGCTCAGTTGCTCTTTGTGTGTGTATTCAAAGATTTCTATGTTTTTCTATAGAACCAGCAAAGAAGAATCTTGTCAAATAACTGAGGCTGGTGGTCTATGATATGACAGTTTTCTTGAAATCTCTTAAATTTGTTTTCTAGTAATTTTTTGAGGAAGCTGGATTAATGCAGTTGATAACAGTGTTAGAGATCATGTTAGTCTAGCTCATTTGATCTAATGTCACCTGAAATGTTGTTTAAGTTTTGATAATTATTCAAACCCTAGTTTCCAAACTTGGTGGTGTATTGGAATCATCTCAGAGTTTTAAGAAATTTCAATGCATGGGTTCCAGCCCAGGTAGTCTCTAATTTAATTAGTCTGGGTTGTAGCCTGGACACTGGGTCATTCAAAGCAACTCAGATGGTTCTAATATGTGACCAGGTTTGAGAACCAGCATATTAAAGATTGATTACAACTCACCTCATTTTAAAATGTAAGAGAAAAACATCATTGAGCCATCATAGTAAGAACTCTTAGCAAATTGTGGATTATATTGTTAGTTTAGTTGTAAAAATATTGATCTTTCAGAATCAGCCATAGTTACAAGGGTTAGCAGCTTTTGATTGCTTTGAAAAAACCAGGGACGGTCTCCTGAGTATCACACAGTGAATCAGATAGAAAGTTTATGGAAATACTTGCGTAGGATATTATAATGTATTTCTGTTTTCAAATTTTAGAAAAGGGCCATATGGGGTAGTAGAGTGAGTATAGGAAAGCAAGCCCTAGATTTTAGCACTGACTCTACCAGTAATCAAGGTGTGACCTTGAACATTTCACTTATGCTCTTTGGCTTAAAATGCCCTCATCTATAAAGTGAGGGTTTGAGACCAGATAACGTTAGGAGTCTCATTTGGTTTTCTTAGCTTAGTGGGTAAGAGCAAGGCCCTGTAGTGAGATAGTCCTGGATTAAAGTCTTGTTTCTGACACTTGCTGGCAGTGCAACTTGAGCTAATTTCCTATTTTTTCCTCATCTGTAAAATGGGAATCATATTATAGTACCTACTTTATAGGACTATATGAAGGAATACATGTGACAATGCATACAAAGTACATAGCACAGAGCTTAACACATAGTACCTGGTAAATAGGTTGTTGTTCTTATAAGAAGTTACAGATTCCTGGCAAGGAAGAGAAAAGCATTGGGTCCTATGAACAAACGCAATAGGGTTTTAAATACATCTATTTCTCTGTACTAATGATTTTTGAAATCAGTTTGCACAGTGGTCCTGAGTATGAAGCAGAAATGTGTTAAATATCTTCTTCCCTTCGGGGAACATGGGCATCTTTATATCAGTATAACATTTGTTTATATTATGATTTAGCACGTAGTAAGGCTGGAAGTTCTCATAGTGACAGTGTACACTATGTAGTTATTTATAGGAAAGCTTTGCTGATGCGTATCATATTTTTACATATCCTGTTAAGATTCCTGTGAATGATTAAAATACAAATGTTTATTACTTTATACTTTTCTCAATATAACTTGGAGCCCATGAGTTCCTGAAGGAATGGACCTAGTGGGGTGAACAGCTCTGGAGTTCTGTAGGAACATCATGGAAATCTAGTTGAGAAAAATTAAGCATAAGAAGTGTTCTGGGGTTTGGTTCCACTGTTTTGGTAGTGGAAGTTGGTAGTGTTACTTCTGATTAGCAATTTTTTTGTTGCTTTTGTAACTGATAATCATTTCCTAACTTCTTTGTATGGGATGCACCGTGCATATTTTCATTGTTTGAGACTCAGGGCAGCTTCAGAATCAACTCCATGAGGTTTAGTTTGGTTTTAATTTCAGCCCCTACCCCTTACAAATTATGTGATCTGGAGCACATGTTTTGGCTAGGATTAAGTGAGAAGAAAATGAAGTGAACACTGCAAGTACTCTCTAAATAGTAGCTATTAAGTAATACTCTATTACTTAAAATTAAACAGGAAATATTTACCTTAAAATACACTGGTATAAGCGAGGTGATTTTACAGGAGCCAGCACAACCTGCTTATCCTAAGTCCCTATTCAAGCGCCAAAATTAAGCCCTTTGAGGGCACATTTTTTTCATTTATTGGTTATGGATAAAGATAGAGCTTACCTTCCTTATGTAATTTCAGTAAGCTATCTATTTTTATTTGTCCCAAAGATTTGTTGACTTATATAATTTAAATATGTTTTTATTGCAAGATCTGGCAGTCAAGAAGCTGAAAAATTCAACTTTACTATATCATTTTTCATTTACTTTTATCTTTTTCCTGAGTTTAATAATCTTTCAATGGCTGAGTTCTCAGCATCATGACATCATCATCAATCATTACAGCATCAGATTACAATAAACATTAAGCCTTCAGGGCAAGCAAACAGTGTGGGTGCTATTTGTCTTACCCTTTAATAGCTTCTTAGTATGCAGTGTTGGTCTCATGTACAGAGATTTTTAACAGTTCTACCCTGAGCATCCAAAGGAGGAAAACTTGACAAAACAGTAGTTGGCTCCTTCAAGCTCCCTGTTGATTGTGATGATGGTAAAACCCCAGGCAAGCAAATAAATGATGGAAAGATGTGCAGTCCGCTGAATCTATATTCAGAGCTTCTCTAGTGCCTTCTGAATGCCTATTTTTGGAGAACAGCTGGCATTGATTATTGACTTATGAAGGGAAGCAGATGTGTATGGTCAGCAATGAGAGCTGGTTATGAAAGCACAAAATAGCAGCCCACTGGACAGGGCTGCAGTACGTGAGTGGCACAAGAGCCAAGAGCCCTCCTCTATGTGGAGAGGATTGAATGAGGCATTCTTAGGGCAAGAAAGAATGGGACACTTTTGGTGTCTTTTTTTTCCCTTTACTCCCTCACATTTTTCACATCTTTGTGCATTTGAAAAGAATAAATACTAATTAATGTCATACTCATATGTGCTACATATTTGAGCACATAAAATTGATTGGGTTCTCTAGACATGCTACCTGTTTTAAATAAGTTAAGTCTCTAGTATTCCTGGTTATAAAACTACAAGGGAGTTTGTGTTCAAGATTCAATCTGTTTAGTTGCATCAATTGTAATCCAAATATTAATCCAAAATATAGATATTTAAATATATTATGACATAGGTGAAGAAATAAGCATAAATCTCTAGATACTGTTTTAACTTTAGTGTATTGTTCATTTGGTCCTGAGGTTCAGGAAAAGAAAGACAGGTGGAAAATCCATATGAGGTCATATGAAACTTTTACAATTAGTAATGCCTTTGTCTTATTAGTGTAATGCAGTGGAAAGCTCATAAAACTTTGGAATTAGACATACTTGAGCTTAAATACTGGTTCTTTACTTATTGATCATGTAGTGTATCACTGTTATACTATATTCATTGGTAAAAATGACAGTTTTTAACTCATGCTTGTTCTGAGGATTAAATTCACTAATTCATTCAACATGTATTGATCTGGCATATATTAAGGGTCAGGCACTGTTAAATATAAATGACAATGTTTTGGGGGATGCAATAGTTAACAAAACAGACAAAATTCTCTGCATTTATGGAGCTGATATTCTAACAGGGGTCAGCAAACTGTGTTCCCTGTACCAAATCTGGCCCACTGCCTATTTTTGTAAATTTTTCTTGGAACATAGCCATATCCACTCATTTACGTATTGTTTATGGCTGCTTTTGTACTGCCACAGCAGAGTTAAGTAGTTAGGTTAGAAACTGTGTGGCTTGCAAAGCCTAAAATGTTTACCATTTGGCCCTTTACAGAACAAGTTTGCCAACTCCTGCCTTAGATCATTGATTTGAAACTTTTTTTCTCTAATATAAGCAAGTAATGTCCTACAGATTTTTATATTGTTTCAGTCTCTTCAAAATACTTTCTAATCTTCCTTGTTATTTTTTGTATGGCCCATTGTTTATTTAAAAGTATGTCAGTTTCCAAATATTTGGTGATTTTCCACATAACTTTAAAAAAATTTTCAGTTTAATTATTTTGAGGTGAGAGCACACACTTTATAATTTCAGTCCTTTTAAACTTGAGACTTGTTTATGGCCCAGAATGTAGTCTATTTTAGTAACTGTTCCATTTGCACTTGAATATATATTCTGCTCTTGTTGGGTACAATGTTCTGTAAGTGCCAATTGGTTCAAACAGGCAGTTAGTATTGTTCAAGTGTTCTGTGTCTTATCAATTACTGAGAGAGTAGTCTTGAGATCTTCAGCTGTAATTGTGGATTTGTCTGTTTTTCTTTCAGTTATATGACTTTTTGCTTTATCTGTTTTAGAGCTGTTACTGCTTGCATTCATACAC